TTTTAACACCAGCTGTCCTTTTATCTCTCAAAGCATTGGGTCATTGCTCAGCTAGGCCGACTGGATTAGCTCTACCCCAGAGAGCAGACTCAATGGCAGGCGCTGACCTGTGAATCTTTATCTGCCATATCTGCGGTTCCTGTCAGCCTAATGGTATTTTTTTGCGTCTATGGCGTTCGTTTCACCCAGAGGGGCAGCTGCACTCAATCACACACGATCTAAGTGATTGCTAAGGTTCTTCTTATTGGTGGAAATAGAATTAGGTAGGTGGGGGTCTGGTTAGATGGAACGCCTTGATTGGTGGTGGAAGAAGAGGATGGGGGTGCTGAGGGAAATTGGTGATGAATCATGGCTGGATGTAATTCATGACAAGCCATGGGGGTCTGAAGATCATCTCAGAATTGGATGGAGTTTGTGCATGAGATTTTCACTCAAATGTGTCCCACAAGATGGAAAAGCAGGCCAAATTCACAAATCAACTAAAATCTCTGTTTGCTGTTCATGTTTACTCAAAATAACATAGCAGACAGTGATCAAGAACCCGTGTGGCTGGTCAACATGTCAACCTTGTCTAAAACTAAAAGGTTTCCAAGCATAAGAATTCATGGTGCTTTGTAACACAAATTCAATTATTTTAAAAAAGAAATTGTTTCTAGTGAGTGAGCATCCTATTGTAGATGCCAGATTTAGTTGCAAAGGATTGAAGTACAGTTCGCTCGATATCATTCTATCTTGAGATTTTAGGTCAGAGGTATTTATTAAAAGTTTCAGGAGGTCCAGTTTCCATTTCCCTCTTTGCAAACATGGCTTATATGCCTATTAAATAGAAGTGTGCATTATTGTGCATTACCAAGTTGGCAGCATTAGTACTTTATAAAAAAAGAAATAATCAATCCTAAACAAAGTAGTCTCTCTGAAACTACACAAGGTTAGATATGAAAGTGTGCATTTGATACCTTAAGTTATCATTTATAATGGGGAAATATACTTCTTCATCTACTTCTGTGAGAAATGAGTTGTGGTCTAGATTGGGGTCTGAATCTGGACCAAGGCCTACAACCCATGTTTTTTGGTTTATTTGTCCATTGGAAAAGGCATATTTAAATGATCCAGGTATCCCCCAACATAACACATTTACTGGACTGGACAGCTGCGGGATGTGTAGATTTTATATCCCAAAAAGTTTTCCGTCAGCTTTGTCTCTTTGCATCATGTTCCAGGAAGTATAAATGTTTGTGTGTTTTTCCACAATATATTGCCCTCTTGCTTTGTAATGCTTGAGTTGTGTGTGTGTGTGTGTGTGTGTGTGTGTGTGTGTGTGTGTGCAGGATACACATGAAGGATACATAGGGCGTCACACAATGGGAGGTTTCCATGACGACCAGACCAGGGTCAGCATCGGTCCTATAACCCCCTTTCTATCTCCTCTGTATCTTGAATTTCTTTCTGTCCCTGTGCCTCTGTAGAGGTTACATTGTGTATGTATGTGTGTGTGTGTGTGTGTGTGTGTGTGTGCATGTGGTCAGGTCATTTCCCCCAGCATGCGCTTCATTAGACTGCCAGAAGTGCTTTCTCTGTGGAAGAAAGACATTTTGGCCCTCCAGGAGCAGCTCTAAGTGGGGCAAGGGGACGTGAAATAGCGCAGGTGTCTCTCTGGAGTCTTCAGACATCAGGGTTTAAAAGCAGAAATCAGCTTGATCTCATTCAATCTCTCTTCAGACTCTTTAATGAGTGAATCTCTGCAGAAATGACAATACCTGCATGCTAAAGCTTCCTTTCTCTTCTGATCTCATTTAGTCTCATCTCTTCTTTTCGTTTGTCGCAATGATGCCTTTTTCTTTCTCTTGCCTCGTCTCACCTCACATCTTTTCATCACATCTCTCCTTTTTTCTTCATCTCTTCTCGGCTTATCTCATCTCTTGTTTGGTCTCATCTCACCAAAACTCTATTCTTTCATTTCTCATCTTAGCATATATTATGTCTTGGCCTAATCTTCTCGTCTAATCTCATCTCACCTCACCTCTTTTCATCTCTCTTTATGTCATCTCGCATTGCCTTGTTTAATCTCAGCTCATCGCTTATCCTCTGATCATCTCACCTCTTCTTTTTATTTTCTTGCCTTGCTTGTGGTCGTCGTTCATATCTTGCCTTGTTTTGTCTCGCACTTGTCTCATCATACCTAAATTTGTCTTGTCTTGCTCATCAAGTTCATTCTCTTTTGATGTTGTCTCTCTTCTTGTCTTGGTTTATCTCTTTCTTTGCCATCTTGCCTTGTCTTTTCTCATGTAGTCTCTGCTTTTCTCATCTTGTCTCATTTCTTCTTTTCTTTGCTCATATCACATCTTCTTTTTGCAAACTGCTTTGTCACTTTGTCTTTTCTTGTCTTTTTGTATTTTCTCATATCTTCTCATCTTGTCTCACCTCTTCTATTTTTCTTGCCTTGGCCCATTTTGGCTCATCTCTCATCATCTCATTATCTCACTTCTTCTTCCCATTTCTTTCCTTGCTTTGTGTCTTCTCGTCTTGTCTCCCCTCACCTCTCCTCTTCTTTTACTTGCCTCATCTCATCTTATTTCTTCTCTTTTATCCCTTTTCCTCTGTTAGTCTCATGTCACCTTTTCATATTCTGTCTTCCCTTGTTTTGCCTTGCTCTTGTCTCATCTAACCTCACTTCTTCTCGTCTTGTCTCATTTATTTTTCTTGTCTCAATTCACCTCTTCTTTTCTAATCATATCTTGTCCTGTCTTGTCTTGCCTTGCCTTGCTCTTGTCTCACCTCACCTCACTTTGTCTAATCTTGTCTTGTTTTTTCGCATCTCATCTCTTTCCTTCTCATCTGTTCGCATCTCTTCTTTTCTTGATTCACCTCTTCTTTTTTATTTTGCCTCGCCTTGTTTTGTCTTGCTCTTGTCTCATCTCACCTCACTTCTTCTCGTCGTTTTCTCATCTCATCTCTCGTCTTGTCTCTTTTCTCGATTCACCTCTACTTTTATTTTATTTTCTCGCCTTGTTTTGTCTTGCTCGTCTCATCTCACCTCACTTCTTCTCATCTAGTCTTTTCTGATCTCGTCTATTCTCATCATCGTCTCATCTCTCCTTTCTTGTCTCGATTTACCTCATCTTTTTTTGCATCTTGCTTTGTTTTGTCTCATACTTGCCTCACCGAACTTCACTTTGTCTCGTATCATCTCATCTTTTCTCATTTCATCTCTCGTCTCGTCTCTTTTCTCGATTCACCTCTACTTTTGTTTTATTTTCTCGCCTTGTTTTGTCTTGCTCGTCTCATCTCACCTCACTTCTTCTCGTCTAGTCTTTTCTGATCTTGTCTCTTCTCATCTTGTCTCATCTCTCCTTTCTTGTCTCGATTTACCTCATCTTTTTGTATCTTGCCTTGTTTTGTATCGTACTTGTCTCACCTCACCTCACTTTGTCTCGTATCATCTCGTCTTTTCTCATTTCATCTCTCGTCTCGTCTCTTTTCTCGATTCACCTCTACTTTTGTTTTATTTTCTTGCCTTGTTTTGTCTCACTCGTCTCATCTCACCTCACTTCTTCTCGTCTAGTCTTTTCTGATCTCGTCTCTTCTCGTCTTGTCTCATCTCTCCTTTCTTGTCTCAATTTACCTCATCTTTTTGTATCTTGCATTGTTTTGTCTCGTACTTGTCTCACCTAACCTCACTTTGTCTCGTCTCATCTCGTCTCTATTCACCTCTACATTTGTTTTATTTTCTTGCGTGGTTTTGTCTTGCTCATGCCTTATATCACCTCAATTCAGTCTTTTCTCATGTCTCTTCTCATCTCGTCTCATCTCTTCATTTCTTGTCTTCTTTTTGTATCTTGCTGCTTTTCTCAGCTCATCTCTTTCTCTTGCCTTATCTTATCTCACCTAAATATTCTCTCAGAAACAAAATATGTGCAAACGTTTATGTAAACAACTGTTTATTTCCTTAAATAAACACTAATAAAGTTGGAGGAAAGAATTTCAGAAAATTGGAAAAGGGTCCCCTGTGAAAGGCACCTCTCATAAGACAATGTGAACTCCTCAGCTTAGTCCTGTTATCATTTGCACACTGGGTTTTCCCCTTGGACCTAAATCGAGAATATATGAGACAAAATATCATACCTTGTGGCCATCTTCAAGCAGCAAAAGACAATTACAGATGCCTATATGAGATTACAGAGAGCTCTGGTCGGTCCCAGGTGGAAGGTTTGGCCCCCGGAGGCAGAGACAAAAGCAATAAGTCCATACACTTGACCTTGCCTCACACTTTATACACTTTATACACACATACACAACTGGTTAAATGACAGTGGGATTGCTGAAATCCAGCATCTTTTCCTGTTCCCGTGTATAAGACAGTCGTAGAGGGAAAGGAAGCAGATGTTTAATCAGTTTACCTCTGATAGAGAGAGGAAGAGACCATTAGAGTGACCCAGGACTACAAAATTGATCCCACATCTCCCATATTCACAGCCTTGCGGAGGCATTTGAGCCCTGTTAGCGCCCTTAGCTTTGTCCGTTGTCTTTTTTATTGACCTCATTACAATGCTGCCCGTGTTTGAATTCGTTTTCCTGTGTCGCCGAGGGTCGAGACCTTCGCCTTGAACTGTCACACACATAGATTACACTTTATTTCTCTGCTGTCTAAACAGACACACTTGGGATGGTATTGTTTTTTGGGCGAGACAATAAAGCCTCATCCTCCAGTGTGGTTTTGCATGCTTTTATTTGTTTTCTAGCAGCAGAGTTAGATGTTACATAAATTATAAAGAAGAAATATGTGGAATGAGGCTCTATGTGACTCAAATTACTTTTTAATCTCTCATATGGATTGAATTGTCAGTTTGATAAGTGAGGCAATAAACCTTACAATTTTTGTTCAAGAATGTTTTGTTTTTATTCTAAATGATCAATAGTTTGCTTTATTACATGTTTGTGTGTTGATGATGTAGGTCAGTCAGTGGGACTTATGTGCTGGCTTATTTGTGTGTTTTTCGCAGTTCTCCAAGGAGAAGTACCTGCTGGAGTCGCCCCCGGAGAAGCTCAGGAAGGAGCTGGAGGAGGAACTCAAACTCAGTAGCAGTGACATGAGGAGCCACGGCTGGTACCATGGCCATATTCCACGAGAGGTGGGTCAAGTTTTGCTATGCTATGGTACAATGTTCACTTTCTGTCCACTTTGCAACTTATTTTAGCCTAGTAACTCCCACTTAAAGGCTTAGTTCACCCAAAAATGAAAATTCTGTCATTAAATACTCACCCTTATGTCGTTCCAAACCCATGGACTATTTTAACAATGTTTTTGCCACCTTTCTGGGCCTTGAAAGTTGTCAAGGGAGGGACAGAAAGCTCTCAGATTTAATAAAAAATATCTTTATTTGTGTTCCGAAGATCTTATGGGTTTGTAACGACATGGGGGGGGAGTAATTACTGACCGAAAATCATCAGAGTGAACTCTCCCTTTAAGGCCCTTGCACACTGAGTCCAAAATTCTCATCTGAACTTTTCGCACGTTAAAAAATAAATACGACGTCACGTTTTTTTGCACTCGTTGCAAGCATTTTGAGAAGTGTTTTGACAATGGTGTTTGGACTCGGTGTGCAAGGATCTTTAGAAAGAAATAGACTGCCTAACGCGTAAATCGACCAATCACAGTTCATGGAATCGGAAATCTCGGAAATCGATAATGGACCAAAAAATAACTGAACAAAACTTAAAGGAATAGTTCACCCAAAAATGAGAATTATTCCATTATAATTTTCTCACCCTCAAGTCATCCTAGGTGTATAAGACTTTCTTCTTTCAGTAGATATTGGAGCTAAATGAAATAATACCCAAGCCTCCAGGGGGTTAATAACTGCCTTCTGAAGTAAAGCTCAAGTGAAGCACTGGGGACTGTAAAAAAAATCCATATTTAAAATTTTATGAACTATAATCACTGACTTATGATTGGGTTAGAGGTCACTCTTCCGCTGGAACTCGACTCTCTCGTGAACGCGCGTACGACCATTGCCAGAAGCCAGTGATTATCGTTTACAAAATTTTAAATATGGATTTTTTTTACACTCCCCAGTGCTTCGCTTAAGAAAGTCTTTATTAACCCCCTGGAGTCGTAAGGATTTTTTTTTTTTTTTTTTTTTTTTTTTTTTGATAGATGGATAGATGGATGGTTTCGCTTTTTGGAGCTTCAGAAACTCTGGCACTATTCACTTCCACTATAAAGAGCCAGGATATTTTTAATATAACTCTGATTGTGCCAGTGTTTACACTCTTCGGGGAAGCAGCCTATAAATGATTTATAGTTGTTTCTCCGTGTTAAGCTGGAATGGAAGACAGTATTTAAACTTCAAAAAGATTACACACTTCAACTTTGAGAACAATAGCTGTCAATTGGAATTCCACAGCATGATATTAAAACCAGTGTGCAACTGTGCATGCAACTGGAGAAGTTGGTAAATTAAAACTTTTGTTAGCCTTTTTAGAGTGTTTTCTGTGTGCCTTTTGTACATTTTTTTGTATATTTTATATTTGCTTGTTTTGTGCATGTTTATTTGGGGTTTTCAGTTGGTGTATGTGTGTGTGTGTGTGTGTAAGTAGGCTATGTCCTTTTTTGCACCATAGAGGCGAAAAACTGCAGCCCACACTGAGTCTACTATGAGAGCAGCCATCTGGGCATTAGCATAATGTATTCCTGCTCAAACTGGAGTAAAGACAAACTCCAGCCCTCTCTATTAAAACTATAGCTAGTCACCATGGCGATACGCCCCCATGCTGCACTTCTGACCTCACCAAATGTGCTGTTGCGCCATCTGCTGGAGCAGATGCATGCATCACATTAAGACTTCTGTGTTATTTCATCAACTTTCTCTTAAAATGTGCTTGTGTAAAATATACAAGTCATTTCTGTTGATTCAGTTGCCAACAGCGTGTAGTAAAAAATATGTTACCACCAAAAAAAAAATCAAGAATTTCCAACCATCTATCAATCCATTCATCCATCCAGCCTTCCATTCATTGAACATTTCCAGAATGTATAGTCCAACAGTCTGTCATCTAATTTGGAATTCAAAAACAAAATTTAGTAAATATAAAAAAAAGCGATCTAATCATTTAAAACAAGGTGACGTAAACTCACAAATAAATATATATTATACATTTGGTAGTCTCAGACCTAGGAGTTATCTTAAGTCCTCTGATATTTTGAGCTGTGGTGCTCATGTGGGAAATATGGGTTTGAGTCCGGCTGTTCTGTTAATAAACCCTCTTGTTTTATTTGTATCAACAGGCTTCCGAAACGTTGGTTCTACGAAGCGGCGACTTCCTCGTACGGGACTCCCTGTCGACCGTGGGCGACTATGTGCTCACGTGTCGCTGGCAGCAGGAAGTGATCCACTGTCGGATCAGCAAAGTCCTGGTCAAAAGCGGCCAAACCAAAATCCAGTACATGCTGGAGCATGAGGGCTTCGACTCTGTCCCCACACTGGTCAGGCACCATGCTGGCACGAGCCGCCCCGTGTGCCCGCACACCGGAGCCCAACTGCTGTTTCCGGTCAACCGAACGCTGCCGCTGAGGTACCTGGAGGCGACGTTTGCTTTAGCTGGTGGAAGGCCAGGATCTGCACATTCACCATCAGCCCAGAGGGGGGCGCACATCAAGAGGCGCAGTGTTACTATGACTGATGGACTGACCACAGAGAAGATCATTCCTCACAGGTAGACCTTCACCGTCATCTTCGCTACTAGTATATGGCTACTCATAGTGCCTTGTTTTTTGTTTTGTTTTGCTTTGGACCATTCATTTAGTGTTTTTAGTGACCACCAGGAGTTAAATTGTTTCAGAGTAACAAAATAACTTTTGTTTTGTTTTGTTTTGTTTTGGACCATTAGTGTTTTTAGTGACCACCTGGGGCCTGTTTCAATAAGGAGGTTCAACCAACTCTGAGTTAAAGCTTGAACTCTGAGTTGACTTACCCTGAGATGGGAAACTCTGAGTTTTCGGTTTCAGAACAGCTGAAATGAGTTAGTTCAATCAACTCTGAGTTGACTGACTCTGAGTTAAGCGCGTGCACCACAACTATAAAAAGCCATTATCAATGGAGCGCAGATATTATGAGTCACCATGGCAACCCTGCAAACATGCCCCTGCGGGGCCGACGCTGGCTTTTTGTGGGCACAGTGGGCTAGGGCCAGCCCACGCCAAACCTAAACAGGCCCAGTGCGGGTTGCCCAGACGAGGCCCACAGCTTTGGGCTCACTGCGGGCTATCAGTGAGCAGCCCACACTAGCGGGCTGCCCACATTAAGCCCATGATGGCCCACTGTGGGCCATCCCATTCGGGCCCATGAGCAGGTTTTGCACCTTTGGGCCCATGCGGGTTTAGTTTAGGTAGCCCACATTTAGATTTGCCCACATGCCCACAATGTCATCAGTACGTCCTCTAATCAAAATAACTTGGTAATTTTAGTTCTCTTAAAAAAAAAAAATATATATATATATATATATATATATATATATATATATTAAGAGAATAAGAAAGCACTAATAATATATATATATATATATATATATAAAGAGAATAAGAAAGCACTAATAACTTGGTAATTTTAATTCTCTTAAAAAATTTTTTTAAACAATTTAAATATATATATATATATATATATATATATATATATATAAAATTGTTTAAAAATGTTTTATTTTTTTTAAGATGTATATATATATATATATATATATAAGAGAATAAGAAAGCACTCTTTATATAAAGATGGTAATGAAATTACGGGCCTGTTGCAGTTTCATTCCACACTTTATGTTACATATTTATATTACACGTTGCTCTTTATATTACATGTAGGCCTTTATATAATACAGATGTCATGAAATTGCTTTACAATAAAAGTAAAAGCAAAATGGTATTAAAAAGCATAATTGTCAACTGAATGGGTCATAGAACTACACAATAAGTTTAAATTCATTATATAAAATTAAAGATATTTTAAATTGTTAAATGTTATAATTCTAGATGTTTATTTAAATGCTGCGTGCCTTTTGACGTGTTCTATGGTTTCAATATGGGCGTACGTGCGCGAGTCGCATTCAAATCTGATTCAAAGACAGGAGCGCGCGCGAGCAGATGGAAACCATGGAAACGAGGAAACCCATCAACTGACAAACAGCAAACTAGCGTCTCTCACTGTTGTTTTCTCTGCTTTCAGGTAAGTCTAGTTACCAAAATCACACAAATAATACATACAAACCTTCCTGATATATGTCTTACGTGTAATTGATACACTTCTGTTGAATATTTACTTTATAGAAATAGTTTTATGTCTTCGATAAAGTCCGTTAGCATCTGACTGAACCGTTTTCAGAAGAGCTAACGTTAAGTTGTTTACGTTACAATTGAGCTCTTGTTTTACATAAGTGTGGGTTTTTAACCACATTTTTGTGTTGATAACAGTTTTTGATAGTTTTGTTTTGCTGGTAATTTGTCAATGGGTGATTGGAAGTTAGCTAAGTTAATTTATTTAACCTTGAAAGAATTCATTGTAACGTACTTAATGACGTCATTTACAAATATTGGTAATAAGTGATTTCAGAAGGAACAGGAAAAAAACACAACAAAGGGGAATTATTGTTTAATCATGATAATTATTTCATATGCATTATTGCACAATATATTACCTTAAGATTTTTTATGTATATTCTTTAGCTATGCTCTAGCTTGCTTCCTTGTATTAAACCCTTTGTTCTATTGTAAATTCAATGTAATATTGTTGGCTCTGTGACACATTGCATGTTATTTTCTTGAAGATCATCATAGATGTCCTGCTGCACCCCCTGGGGTCCAAGACAATCTCCACGGCTATGACCTCGACTATAGTAAGCAAAACTTCATACAATACTGTTTAATTGTTGTGGGTCTGTAGGATTTATGATTTTGAATGAAGTCTCTCACTTTAAATTCATTAACTACAGTTTTTTTCAGTGACATTGTACTTGAGAAGCTAAATAATAGGTGGCAAATATAATGTTATAATAGTCATAGTTATAATAATTCAGGATAATAGTCATGGGTATATATATATATATATATATATATATATATATATATATATTTATTTTTCTCTGGGTGTGTTTAATTATGTTGGCCAATGAGACACCATACTGTCCAACTCAAAGCTATTTTTTTATGTATGTTTGACTGATAAATACTGAAATTCTTTTTACTTTCAAATGCTGAATTCAGGGGGTTATGGCTGTGCTCTTGTTACCAGATGAGATATCATTTGATCCTGTGATTCTTCAGGACAAGATCTTGATGCCATCCACACCCAGTACATGACGAAGGTGAGTTTCACAATAGCTATATCACCATCACAAACCAAGAGGCCAAACACAACAGGCCTTCATCCATATGAACTCACCCATATGTAGGAATAGGTTCCGAAACCCGTATTAAACATTAAACGGGCCCTGGGGCCAAATTAAGGAAGACTGCAGTATCGATAAGCTCAGATGTTATCAGTTCTGCTGACGGTACTGAAGAAATTACACACACACTATTTATTATATTATCTTGTGTCATTGTCATGTGTTTTTCAGGCTGGTTGTTTGTCATTTTGTAAGAGTAGAGAGAGGCTGTACCTCAGTGAAGACTTATTTTACATTAGATAATTCAATTTCCGTACCTGATAAGTTAGATTTTCCGAAAAAACTTCATGCACTGCTTATTTCAATTGTATTTTTCTTCTATTGAATTTATCAATACTTGTAATTTGTTATAATTTTCAATGCAGATTCACTCAATAATCTCTTGAAATTTGTTTTTATATCGCAATATATATAGCAGCAGATAAACTAAATATTTTATTTAAGGTTTTTAGTATTGTGCAGCTCTAATATTGAGCATTTAACCTGATTGAACCTGGAATTGTTATAATAACCTGGAATAATTTGTGATACCAGATGTATGATTATGTATGATAGATTTTGAACTGTATTTTTTTTTTTTTTTTTTTTTTTTTTGCAGGTTTTCTGGGATCCACAGTGGAAGGCATCAAGGCGTGAGATGTTGGCTGGACAGATGTATTGACAGATGATTACTATCATGTTCTGTAAAGGTTTCATTATAGCAAAACAGAGCACCTGTGACAGTGGAATCTGTAGGTGTAACGTAGTCAGTTAAAAGTAGTCAGGTGTAAAGTAGTCACAGAGAGAACGTTTTTTTTTTTAAGTTTCAAACTTTTTTCTCTTTCACAAAAAACACTGCAGTTACAGCTTTTCAAATTCTTCATTGGAGGTGTACAAATAATTTTCTTTTTTTCAAATCACAAAAAGGGCTGTGCAAAAATTAATTGCAATTAATCGCATCCAAAATAAAAGTCTGTGTTTACATAATATATTTGTGTGTGCTGTATATAATTATTTTGTATATATAAATACCTATGCATGCATGTATATATTTAAGAATTATTTGCACTTAAATTCTGTGTATATATATATATATATATATATATATGAATACATAATCTATATTATATAAATATAAATATTTTATATATGAATAACACATTTTCTTAAATATATACATGCATGTGTGTGTATTTATATATACAATATAGGGCTGTGTAACGATTAATTGCATCAAAAATAAAAGTTTGTGTTTACATGATATATGTCTGTATAATTATTTTGTATATATAAATACACACATATGCATGTATATATTTAAGAAAAATGTGTTATTGATATCAAAGATTTATATTTATGTATAATATTAATTTTGTATAAACATATATACAGTACAAACATGCAAATATTTCTTAAATATATACATGCATGTGTGTGTATTTATATATACAAAATAATTATACACACTACACAAACGTATATAATTTATGTGAACACAAACTTTTATTTTGGATGCGATTAATCGTTTCACAGCCCTAATACAAAATAATTATATACAGCACACACAAATATATTATGTAAACACAGACTTTTATTTTGAATGCGATTAATCGCAATTAACTTTTGCACAGCCCTGTAAGAAATGTATGCTGACATTTAAGGCACGGCCACACGGGGTTTGAGCATATGTGACTGTGAATGAAAAGTGAAGTGTGACCACATGAGAATAGCCAAACAGTATAGATGATTCACAAAATTATACACCAAGAAATGTGCATAATTGGCCAAAATGTTACTGTTTATCAACAAAAATATGACCCTATGAGTTTGGTAATTTTTAGAATAGGATTTGTGCACCTGCAATGAAGAATTTAACTGATGTTTTGTGTAACTGATGTGTTGTGTTTGTGAGAGAGAGAAAGCAAAGAAAAAGAGGTTTGCAACTCATAAAACATTTTCTCGAAGACTAAAAATCTACAAATTGCACTGTTATAGGGACTCTGTTTAGCTTCAATATTACTAGATATAATACAGTGTCAATCTTATTAACTACTATTTATTTTGTATAAAATCATATACAGTATACAGGTAAAAAATTTGGAAACATTTTGGAAGAAGTCTATTCTGCTTATCAAGCTTGCATTTATTTGCATTTATTTAAAAAAAACAACAACAAAAAACAGTAATATTGTGAAATTTTATCATAATGTAAAACAGCTGTTTTCTATGTTTCTGTTTTTTATGTGAATATATAATAGTGTAATTATATTATATATAATAACCTGAATTTAATGTTTTATGTTTTGTAATTAATAAATACATTGATTTGAAATCCCTTTGACTTCTGTACATTTGTGAAAATACAGAAATTAGTTATGTGGTGACTGCATTCAGATGTATAGAATAATTGTTTTTCCCAAAGACTTATAGTTATATTAGCCAAAAAGTATTTATAGTGAAACAGATTAATTGTGAACTAGATCTATTGTTGTAGATGCCCTGTGTGTGCGGTGCGGGCCCTGTGTGGGCTTAGTGAGGGCTTCCTTGGGGCTAAGTGAGGGCTGCCCATGCAGGGCCAACGTTTTGTGGGCCCAGTGTGCGGGCCCTGTGTGGGTTTAGTGAGGGCTAAGTGAGGGCTGCCCATGCAGGCCCAACGTTTTGCCAATGAGCAAATTCTCATGGGCCCTGCGCTAGCAGCCTGCAGGGGGCCCTTAGGCTAGCCCTAAGTGGGCCCGGACAGGGCCAGTGCAGGCTTGTTTGCAGGGAACAGCGCCAGACAAAAAGAGGTGTTGGGTATAATTAATTACCAAGTAATCTAAATATTGTAATTTAATTAAAGGGATTACTCTTAATTATTCTGTAATTTAAAATAAAATATGATGCAATTACATAGGCTAGGCCTACTGCATAAACTAAAGACCTATTCAGTATAAAACAATAATGGATTTAACATACATTTTTAAAAGGTATATTGTTTTTATGTAACCTTCTCCCTCTACACACTTTGATCAATTCAAGAATAATTCATGCAATTGCATATTGTTAATTTGAAAGCATTAAAAGTGCAGTTTCTTGTCTCTCCTCTCCATATTAATCAAGTGGTTGAGGTTGATATAGGATTTAGTAATTAGTAATATGTAGACCAATACTTTCTAGAGATAGTAATTATTACACTAATCTAACTACACCGTTGAAGATGTCATTTGTTGTTAATTCATAACTATTTTAGAGTAACTTATACTGTTATAATATCAGAGGTGAAACTGGAAGAATGTTATTCAACCTAAAGTAGGCTACTATTACTTTGATAAATTTTTACAATACCAGTTAAAAAATGTACTCAAGTAAAAAGTAGTTAATTTAAAAAATTGCTGAACTTGTTTAACAGCGGGGGTGGGGGACTCCCCCATGTAAGGTTGTAAAATATGAGAGTTTCACAGTATGAGAACGTCTCAGAAAATATCCCGGTTTATGGTATTAAACAATTATTAAATATATAAACTGCATCATTAAATTAAGGTTAATATTATCATCAGTTAAAATGACAGTTAAATAAATTAAACATTTGTTCAATAAAACATATGTAATCAACTAACTTCAATAATTGATTATGAATTAGATTAACATCTTTTTTATCATTAATAACTTATTAAATTATGTTTGAAAAATAATTGAGTTCTATTAAATGTTTTTTATTCCAATTGTTTAATCGTTTAATAGAAATATATTATCAAAAACAGTGGTAATCAAATAAAAGTTTAGCAAAGGTTTTAATCCTTTTGTTTTTTTGGCAAAGTGCTGCAAAACAGATTTAGTCAATTAAACCATGGACAGACAATATATATTCCTTAAAGAAATACATTTTAGTATTATTATTGGTGTTTAAACAGCACTTCCTCTTTAAAAAAGGGGAGGAGACCGCAAGAAACTCTGGGTTTACTGAAGAAAACCTGCTGCCAACCAGGTTAGGTTCACAGAGTAAGTTACCATGGTAACTGACTCTGAGTATAAGTTCAGAAACGGGCTTGACTTACTCTGCTTTCTCGGGTTTGATACCCCCTTTCTGAAACGGAAAACGAATCGGTTACCTAACGTAACCTCGGTTCTCTCTAGATGAGGGAACGAGTATTGCGTAAGCTAGCTTACGCTACGGGAAAGATTCATCTTTGCTGAGAAGTTGAAGCCAAAAAATTATTCCATAATTTTGTAATCATAGTCAACGCAGTCTCTTCTGAGGCAGACCATGAGCGGGCTAGCTAGCGGCTCATTGGTTCGCTCAGAGAGAATGCACGAACCTAAGGGAGAGCGGCGCTGAGTCCGCGGCCAATGAGCGGACGGCGCTCGCTTACTGCGTCACAGCCCGCCAAAAGGGGCGTGGCTACAGTGTATAAAGGTCGCTCTCCCAGCTCGTTCGTTGATTCTGTAGCATGAAGCGAAACGCTGGTGGCGCAAGCACGGCCGGGAACGCAATACTCGTTCCCTCATCTAGAGAGAACCGAGGTTACGTTAGGTAACCGATTCGTTCTCTTACGAGAGGTTCTCTCGTATTGCGTAAGCTAGCTTACGCTACGGGAACACCTGGTCAACGCCGTGCGCGCTAAGTAACCACTAAGCATCCCAGGGGAACACCGGGGGAATCTATAAGTGGATGAAGATAATACGGCGGCCAGATAGCGGCCGTTACTATCTAGTGCAAAAACGCCCAAGGCGGCCGGCGAAGGCGGGCCGTGATGTGAAGGCTAATGCATAAGCACATAGGGGAACACAAGGGGTGAAACGGTTGTGATGGAACTCCCGATAGTGCGGCTTCTATAGGAGGGCTGTGAGTACTAGACCGCCAGAATTTTAGCCTGTAAGGCTGGAACTTCCAAGTTGTAAAATCTGACAAAGGTGGAGGGGGAAGCCCATCCCGCAGCCACACAAATGTCGTGGATGGAAATCCCGCAGGACCATGCCCACGATGAGGCCATGCCTCTGGTGGAATGAGCCCTGATGCCCAGAGGGCAAGGCAGGTCTTTAGCGGTATAAGCAGAGGCAATCGCGTCTACTAACCACCTGGATAGGGTCTGTTTCGAGGCGGCTAGTCCCTTGGTGCGGCCACCGAACGACACAAACAGCTGCTCCGAGCGTCTGAACGCGGCAACGCGTGTAGTGTACACTCTGATAGCCCGAACCGGGCAGAGGCGGTGAGCGTCACGTTCGCTATCGGATGCCGGCAGCGCCGATAGAGAGATCACTTGCGCCCTGAAAGGGGTACCAATCGCTTTTGGAACATAACCGTGTCTAGGCTTTAGAATGACTATGGAGTCACTCGGTCCAAACTCTAGGCACGCGGCGCTCGAAGACAGCGCGTGAATGTCCCCCACACGTTTTACTGAGGCGAGAGCCGTCAGAAGAACGGTTTTTAACGAGAGGTATTTTAGCTCCACGGACTCCAGTGGTTCAAACGGTGGGGCTTTCAGAGCTTCTAGAACTATAGAAAGATCCCAGACCGGCACCGTAGGGGGCGAGGGGGGTTCATCCTTCTGGCTCCCCTGAGGAAGCGGATGATAAGCTCGTCTTTGCCCAGAGACTGGGCGCGCCGGGGTTCAGCGAACGCCGCGACGGCTGCCACGTAAACCTTAAGAGTGGATGGGGACCTGCCCTTATCCAGCATCTCCTGAAGGAACACTAGCAAA